ATATATATATATATATATATATATTCCGACTCAAGTGCCGAAACAATTCAAGACTATGAATCCACATTGTAATAAAAATAAAATTAGTTTGTAAAACTAATATTTTATTTTAGAAACAAATTCTTCCATGTATACTCACGATGAACTATGATAAAGTCAAAAGAATTAACACCTTTTTCACAAAGGGTTCAAAAATAAGTGGTCTACCAAACGAAATCATAAGTTACTTACAAAATTAACAGATTGTGACCGAGTCACAAAGTTACATGATTGATTAACAAAATTAATTTTCTAGTTACTAAAACCAGAAAATAAATTACAATAGAAAATAATTTTATTTTCCTTGTTACTAAAACTAGTAAAATAAAATACCGAAATAATATCTGATTACAAAAATCAGAAAACCAAACCACAAATTAATTCTCTAGTTACTTTAACAAGAAAATAAATTATAACACAAAATCATTTTATTTTTCTTGTTACTAAAACTAGAAAATACTGTAATTTTATTTTCCTTATTACTGAAACTAGAAAATAAAATACCATCCTCCTAAATTCGGACGGATGATTGATAAGAGGTCAGCTGACCCAACTTAATTTGCTAGCAAATTTTCTAGTTACTAAAACCAGAAAATAATTATAACAACAAAATAATTTTATTTTCCTTGTTACTAAAACTAGAAAAATAAAATATCACAATAATTTTCTGTAATACCAAATAATATTCTGAATTGTTAATGACACCAGTATCGTACTACTAGTTGTTGTCAAAGAAAAGAGACAGTATATTACTACTATCTGTCAAATAGCATAAATCACTATTTGTTTTTCCAACCAGAATATTAATTTGAAAACACAGAAAATTAAATACAATGAAGATACCAAAAAGGATTATGTCTTAAGATTGTTGGACAATCTTCACTGTATTTAATTAAGTTAAATTCTGTTGTGTACAAAACAACAACAAGAATAAAAAGAAATAAAGAAAAGAAGAGAATTTGTTTGATTACAAAAATCAAACTCGAAATAATAAATAAATAAATAAAACCACAGATTTTATTTTGTTACAAAAACAAAAATAAAATCTGATTAAATAAACAAATAAAAACAGAATAAACTTAAACAACTTACTTGGTTAATTTATTTGAATAACTTTTTTGATCAAGTCCAGTGTTTAACACTGTGTCCTTAAGACAGATTCGTCCTCTCTACGGTGCTTTCAGAATTTGGACGTCTATCTTCCAGGATAAAATGATCTTATCAACGAATAAAAGCAGCACTACAATTTAATCGTTCGTCGAACACACAAAGTGTTTAGACTCTTTCTTTCAGAAATAAGATGCAGCAAAATGCAGAGATTTAAAGCAGAGAATGGAGTACGAAAATTGGAGTAAAATCCAAATGGGAGGCTAGTCTATTTATAGATATAAAGGTGGCTCTTGGTTTTGAATTGAACAGGTATGAAACCTGTTAGTTTCAAATCTAAACAGATTTGAATCTGTTAGGTTAATTATTCAAACAGATAAAAACGGGAAGGGCTCTGTTTAGATGAGCAATAAATCCAAACCAGTTTAATTCTGTTTGAAAACGGGAAGGGCCTTGTTTGGATGAACAAAAAATTCAAACTAGTTTAATTTGAATTCTGGATTTTATTTTAAAAGCCCAACCCATTAAATTCAAATGTTTTTGGCCCAAAAAGATTAGAAGCCCAACCACGCACCCGCGCCCAGCCCGCCCGACCGGCGGTGGCGGCGCGCGTGGTGATTTTTGGGTCTAATGGGTCTAGCTTATAACCTCTCCCTCTAAAACGCGTGGTGATTTTTGGGTCCAATGGGTCTAGCCCATTTTGCCCATAACCTCTCCCTCTAAAACACTTGGGTACCCCTTGGGGCACACCCCAAGTATCAAACCCAAGCCTTATAAACCCATTCAAAACTTCCCCCCAAATCAATGTGGGACAAGCCAATTTACAACCTTAAGGAATTTCCACCAAAACTCCATTTCCATGGAGCACACTTTGGCTTCAATTTCCCATTCACTCGGTAATGGTTTTGAGCAACCAAATATACCACGTGAATCACAACGCGGCATAGAACGCGTTACCACTTTGACCCGTGTAAATCGATGCATGGGGCCCACCTAAGAAATAGACCAAACTTAGGAAAAAATTCTAGTTTTACCTAGAATTTTATAACCATTTCCAACATTTTTTGCATGTGTTCATCACTCTTCTTTTCGATGAGGAAAATCTAAATGGTTTTGAAGACAATAGGCTGAAAAAACTGACCTGGAGAGGATGGTACACGGTGAGTGAACAACTGAGACACACACACACACTCTCTTCGATGCGATGAGGATTGTAGTGCTGTTTTATGTTAATGTCCCAAGCAGATGGGGACTATGAATCTATGATAGCTAGCTTTGTTGAGAACTCGGGCAAGTGATTTCATCATATGTTTTAAGTCAAAGATTATGAGTTTAAGTCTTACATGGCAATGTTATTTTAATTTAATTTATTTTTTTAATTATAAGGATGTTGATTCTTACTCTAGTTCATTTCTAAGATAGTATTTGGTTCACTGGAATAAAACGGAATGGAATGATCATTTTGTCAAAATATTTAGAGGAATAAAGAACAGAAACAACACCATGCAAATCAAAAGGCAAGTAAAATTATGAGATAATAAACTTAAATTTTAAATACTAGTACATTAAACTTCAATGGTTCATCCAAAATTTGGTAATTTCCGAATCCAGATCAAAGCCTGGCCAATTTCTTGGAAACCCGAGTCAAAGCAAAGCTTGTATTAAAGTATACACAAGTAGGAGGTATTTACTAAAATAATATTGTCATTGCTATAATTTAGCAATAGATAGTATTATTTTGTCAAATTATAGTAATGGTGTTCTAATAATTACATGCTATTTTGACAAATTTCAACTAATTTTCCCTCCAAAATTGTTTGTGTTGTTTCGATATAGAACTTTTAGTGATTTTTTTTGTTTATTTTTGTTTTTTGTGATCCTTTTTCAACCGTTTGTAAAAAAAATTATATATTTACATTATACTCAACTAGATAAATATAAAAAATTAAAAATAAATTAAAAAAATTTCAAAAAAAATATTAAATATAATTCACTCCAACCAGAAAAGAGCATCGATGGATTGTTTCCAGATTGATCCTTATTTCTATCTCTCTTATCTCTATCACTGTGTCTCTCGTTGATTCCATAACCACCACCCCCTACTCTGCTCTCTCTCTACCCATCTTTATCTCTCTCCCTCACCCTCACCCTCACCCTCACGCTCACCGATTACAGCTCTCCGATCTCCAACCCTCTTCTCCACCACAACCCCCTTTCACTTTCTTCCTCTTTGAAACCCTAACCCTAACAATCGAACCCCTCCGTTCGAAACCCTAACGATCATCACTGACAGAGAGGGATCTCCAACGATTGAAACCCTAATGAATAACACGAAGAAGATCAACCCTACAAAATGTCAGGTATTTTTTTTTTTTACTTCACTGTGTTTATTTTCTAATTTTTAATTTTTTTTTTGCTCGAAATTGCTGAAATTGAAATTTTGCTAGCTTGCTTCTGTTTGAAATTGTTCAATTTTGCTTGCATGCTTGAAATTGATTCTGTTTGAAATTTTGCTTGCTTGCTTGAAATTGTTCAATTTTGTTATTTTTTCTCCAGAAATTCTGCTTCTGTTTTTATTTTTTTGTGATTTTTGGGTGAAAATTGCTTCTGTGTTTGGAAAGGATGATGAGAAAGGTAGGGAGGGAGGGAGGGAGGAAACGGTTGGTTGAAGCTGACTTGGCAGCTTTGGCGTAGCAGCTGCTAAAACTTACCATTGGAGGTGGCTTTTTATGAACCGCTGCCATAATTTGGCAATAGCTGCCATTGGAGATGTGTAATAAGTGATACTACTAGTAGCACACAAAAGTTGACATCGTGAGTCAATTTTTTTAGCTGGATGAGGTCCAGACTGTACACCCAAAAGTTAGAGTCTTTGTAGGGGACAAAATCCCTTGATTATGATTTTTTTCCCATTGATTTATACCTAAAGAAAACAATGGTTGACTAAACAAAAATAGCTAAATGAGCTCTCTCTTTCCTTTTTCCATACACCCATTCGTCTATGTTGTGACCTTTTTTTTCTTTTTTTCAAGCAATTATTGGATACTTGGAGAATATTGTCATGTGATGCTTTCCATGGGCATGATTAGTTTACACAATGGGACTCACCGGCAATGTTAGGCACCTAAAAATTTATCCCAAAAAATACTGGATGGTTGAGATTCATTTCAAGTTTTTTTTTTGGATAAATAAACAAATTTTATTAAACAAGTATCACAACGATGCAAAGAATATAAGGAAAAAAGCATCCCAGGTTGGGCTACAAAAACACACTAGCTAAGCAAATCCTTCACAAAATGTACAAAAGTCAGCACATCAGGATCAACCGCACCTGTAATCCAACTATGCAATAACAAAAAAAAGCCTACTTTCTAACCAAAGAAAGGACTGAGAGATGTTTTGAAACACACGCCTATTCCACTCCAACCAAACCAACCACAAGCAGCAATGGGAAGCAAGTAACCAAGCCTTCCGCCGCCGCTTGCCCATCCTCGCCCTGCCCCAACTAAGCAAGACTTCCAACACCGATCTCAGTTGTACCCAAACCAAACCAAAAAGAGCAACCACCCTACACCAGAGCCGTGACACCACCGGACACTGCACAAGCAAATGATCAACCGTTTCCACATCCGTACAACACAAACAACACCAATTTACCAACATATGCCTCCGCCATATCAAATTATCAATAGTAAGAATACGACCCAAAGCAGCTGTCCAAACAAAAAAAGCGACCTTAGAAGGAGAACTTGATGCCCAAATACATTTTCAAGGAAACACACCACCAACACCCCATAAAAGGAGGGCACCAAGGACAGCCCATTCCATAGAATCCATCCCACCCCCCCACTCCTCAACCCATACAAAAAACCTAGTAGATCCACTAATTGGTCTAGCTCCCAATCTTGAACATCACGACGAAAACGAACATTCCAAACAACAAAATGACCTTGCATCCCCCTAACCGAAGCAACCAACTCCGCCCCATCCACGTCAATAGTGTAAATCAAAGGGAACATGGTCGCCACATACAAGCCATCGCACCACCAATCTTTCCAAAAGCGAACTCGGTCACCCACCTCCACTTTAAACCGACCCTGCTCCCAAAAAACCTCCCTCCCCAACCAAATCCCCTTCCATAAACCACGACCATGAGGACGAACCACCCTCTTCGAACTCCAACCCCCCTCCTCACCGTATTTAGCCACCACCACCTGCCTTCATGACCTCTCCCATTCCCCCACAAAACGCCACAACCACTTACCCAATAAAGCCCGATTAAACACCACCAGTTTTCACACACCCAAACCCCCCTCTCATTCAAAGAACAAACCCTCTCCCAAGCCACCAAATGATAATGAAAATCCTCCCCACCGCTGCTCCACAAAAAATCCCGTTGCAGCTTCTCCAACCTCTGTGCCACCCCCACAGGAATGACATGCACAGACATAAAGTAAGTCGGAATGCTGGAAAGAACACTCTTGATCAAAGTAAGCCGCCCCCCTTTTGATAAATATTAGCACTTCTACCCTGCCAACCGCCGCTGAACTCTGTCCACTACCCTATCTCACACTCGAGTCTCCTTAAAAGAAGCCTCCAAGGGAAGACCCAAATAAGAAACTGGCAACCGTGCCACCTTACAACCTAAGACAACAGCCATCACTGATAAACGATCAACCTCCCCTACTGGAATCAATTCTGATTTTGCCAGATTAACCTGCAGCCCTAACACAACCTCAACCTCAAAACACAACAAAACACATCGCAAGTTGCCAATCTTAGTAGCCTTCGCATCACAAAAAATCAACACATCATCAGCATAGAAAAGATGAGAAACCACCAAAGATGCGGACCCCTCTCCCACCTTAAAACCTGAAAATAAACCCCCTTGGGCTGCCCTGGATAACAAACAACTCAAAGCCTCCATGACCAAAATAAACAATAATGGAGACAATGGATCGCCCTACCATAAACCTCGCTAAGTAGGAAAGAAACCCGTTGGAGTCCCATTAACCAACACGGACAGCCGAACAGTGGAGATACAAAAATACATCCATCTGTGCCAACGTTTCCTAAAACTCATCCTCTCCATCATATCTAACAAAAACTTCCAATTGACATTATCATAGGCCTTCTTAATATCTAACTTACATATAAGCCCCCCTTTCCCTTGTCGAAACTACGAGTCCACGTACTTATTAGCTACCAAAACAACATCCAAAATCTGACGCCCACCCACAAAAGCGTTCTGAGACTCTAACACCACCTCCTCTAGCACCCCCAAAGCCTATTAGCCAAAACCTTGGCCAATAGTTTGTAAACACTACCCAAAAGACTAATCGGCCGAAAATCTTGGATATCATTTGCCCTCCCTTCTTAGGAATCAAAGCTATAAAAGTTACATTCAGACTTCTCTTAAATTGCCCAATTTGATGAAATTGCGTAAACACATCCAACACCTCCCCTTTCACCACTCCCCAGCAGTGTTGAAAGAAAGTAATTGAGAAACCATCCGGGCTCGGTGCCTTATCCCCAGGCATACTCTGCAATGCACCCAAGACCTCCTCCTCAGTAAAAGGCCTTTCTAATAATTGTTCATCCTCCTTAGAAATAGAATCAAAAACCACACCATCCAACCCCGGATGCCACATCAGTCCCTCATCACGGAACAGATACTGATAGCATGACAGTATACCATCCGTAACCTCCTCTTCTGACGAAAGCATCACCCCATTTACCCGCATATTTCCTATCTGGTTCACCCGCCGATGGGCATTTGCCGTTCGATGAAAGAACTTTGTATTACGATCCCCATCTTTCAACAAGCATCTGGATTTTTGCTGGAAACTAATCTCCTCCATCCGTGCAATCCTCGCAAAATCTCTGCGAGCCACATCCTTATTCACCACATCCTCCTTCGAAAAGGCCCCCTCCATTTCCTTGTCATCCAAACCCTGTAAAACTAACAAGATATTGGTCTTCTGAACCCCCAAACGGCCAAAAACCTCAATATTCCACCTCTTCGTATCAGACTTAAGAAGTTTTAATTTCTGGACTATGTAGCTAGGTGAACCTACCACATTGTAACTCCTCCACCACCCACCCACCCTCCTCTCAACAAAGCCATCTGCTTGCAACCACATGTTCTCAAACCGAAAAGGCGAAGGACCGCTCCGAACTCCCCCGCTGTCCAACAGGACCGGCCAATGATCAAAAGTCGGACGTTGCATCCTGCACTGAAGTAATTGAGAAAAATGCTCCTCCCAATCTCCAGAAACCAAAAATCTATCAAGCCCAGAACTCGCTCGGCCACCCGACCAAGTAAAACCTCCCCGTTGTAATGACAAATCTACCAGCTCCATCTCATCAATAAAAGAAGCAAAATCCCTTATAGATTGCCCCAACTGACTCCCCCCAGTCTTTTCCACTGGACTTCTTACAACATTGAAATCACCCCCAACACACCAAGGCAAGCCCTATCTAAAAGCAACATGCTGTAATTCCTCCCAAAAGGCTCCCCTTTCTGACCCCTGAACCGGACCATAAATCCCAGTAAACACCCATCGAAAATCATCCTCAAGGCATCTGAACAAACAAGATAGAGAAAAAACCCCCCTGCTTCTTCCTCTCCTTCATGACCACTCTACTGTCCCAACATATGAGAATACCTCCCGCTACCCCTAAAGATGGTTGGAAAGCCCATTCCATATGTCTCCCACCCCATAACTCCTGCACAAACTCCAACCCAACAACCTCCATTTTGGTCTCTTGGAGACACACCACATCCGCCCTAACACTCTTCAATAAGGACTTCACCACCGTTCGTTTGCACCGATCATGTAAACCCCGCACATTCCAAGTCAAAATTTTCAGATGCATGGCAACAAAAGGGAACCACCCCGCTCCTTCCTTATCCGACAACCCGCTCCGCTTATGTTTCGATCATAATTGATTAAATAGTCTAGTCTCCGTAACTCCTTACCCCCTTTATCTTTCTGACTAGCAAACTGCACTTCCCGACCACCCGTGCCTCCTCTAGTCTATGAAGCTTCAATAGCGGAAAATAGTTTTAGAGTTTCATCCTCATGACCGGCAAAGGATACTCCCCAAAATTTACTAACCTCAGATATGCGATCCAACACCCAGTCTGACATTTCAGCTGAAGATGGTATTTGGTCCATACAAAAATCGGCACCCATCTCCAACTCAGATGCTAGCTCCAGAGATGGCAACCCAGAGGCCCCATCTGCTATCACCTCCGGTCGTACCACCAAAGCCAATTCATTACCCATAGTCTCCCATCGCATCGCCATCAGTACCTTAGGCCTCGCCTCCTCCCCTGAAATAGGTAACTCGTCCC